CCGCCCCTGCGGTCTGCGGGAGCGCCCAGGGCGGGCCGGGCCGAAGGGGCCGCCCAGGAGCGGGGCTCTTCGCCTGCCTCCACCCCCTGCCCACCTGAAAGCCGCCCCTCCTTCAGGCCGGGCAGCCCCGGGTCTGGAAAATAACCGAGCGGGGTCAGGCCTGCGGCCCAGAGCCACGGTCAGCGTTTATTGGGCGCGAGCCCCCACCGGACCGGGAGCGGGAATCAACAGGGGAGCGGCGGCAGCGCCGCTGAAGGGGGTCCGTTTCGGGGCTGGGGGGCTTTTTTCCTGTTTTGGGGACAAATATACAATTAGATGTGATGAAAGATAAAAACTAACACATATTTATTAAATGGCTTTACAAACAATCAATATAATAATTCCATGTTTACAAAATAGTAATCAGGCTAGGTAAAGTGCTGCAAAATATTTTAAATAAAGACATTTTGTAATTTTCCAGTTTCTGTCGGTGCTGGGGGGCTTTTTTCCTGTTTTGGGAACAAATATACAATTAGATGTGATGAAAGATAAAAACTAACACATATTTATTAAATGGCTTTACAAACAATCAATATAATAATTCCATGTTTACAAAATAGTAATCAGGCTAGGTAAAGTGCTGCAAAATATTTTAAATAAAGACATTTTGTAATTTTCCAGTTTCTGGTTACCCGGATGGGTGGTGATGACAGACTGTTACGCTGCTCGTGTGCTGAGAACAGACATGGAGACGACAGGGAATTTGTTCAGAAGGTTTAAACAGTCTGGAAAAAGTGCAAAACGAACAAAAAAACAAATAAAACAAGTATTTCTTCAGATCCTACTACTCTGGGTTAACATCATTTCCCCTCCTCTGCATAGAACATTTTTTTTTTCACAAACTGGAGAATGGTAAGTGGAAGTGTAGTACAGGCTCATGGAAAAGCCCTGTGTTATGCTGGATTTGACGCACCTAAGGCGACTGATCAAATGGCAATCACTCCGTCTGTCACTCAGAGGTACTAACGCAAGGGGAAACTTTCCGAGTACAAAGAGCTGAACTGCATCCCACGGATCCTGTCCAGCAGGGATGCGTGAAGAAGCCACTGCAAGGCGAGCACTTTAACCACGCTACTGCAAAAATACACGGCATCCGCGATTTACTGCCAGGTAAGAGCACACCAGGTAACGCAGGCAGAACCGATCCCACGGCAAGGCCTGTATTACCCCATGGGCACTTGCTCACACGTCCACACTCTGTCTATGCCCTCCATGCTGACTACTGCCTTTTGACTGGAAATGGCACGCAAGCAGGCTTTCCACAGAACAAGTTTCAAAGCTACGTGCTACCTCATACTCGCTCGCCTTTCTTCCTGCCCGTGTATTCAGTTCTGGAAGATGGGAAGGTGATGACCAGTGCTCGGTAGGAAAGACGCTGTGGACCATTGTGATAGGAATTTTTAAGTAACTGCTATTTTGTGGCTGCTGCAAGAATACAGCAAAATGAAGGTTTCTTGAGGGATTTCCAACTGAAGGCAATGTGGAAGGGATCTCACAAAGGAGAGAAACGTTTTCTTTGTGTTCCGCTGTCAAACTGCTGGCAGTGGAATGTATCGTGTCCGAGCAAAGTGTTTCTTACGTGCGGTTGTTTGGGAGGGAAGAGGTAATTTCCTGCAGAAAACTAAGCATCTTTCCGCTACCTGAGGAGGAATATTAAATGTTACAGAATTACCTCCTTCCCATTACACAGTATTTAGGGGCTTGAATGTAATTAACTACCACGAGAACAGAAAAATAAAATTCTAAAGACACTCAAATAAGCAATTATGCCCCTAAACTTTAATGATTTGCTTGTTCAAGTTTTGCTTTGTTTTTCTTTCTGGAGAAAAATAAAATAAATTGAGACTTTTACTGGAGAAAAATCAATCTATTTTTCTATCTTGAAACCAGAAAATGGATCATTTACAAAAAGTCCGAGAAACTCCTCCAACTGCTTTTCCTTCTTGATCTAATCTACTATTCTAGAAGAGTGCCCCTGCATTACATACTTCTATAACCACAAGTATTCTTCATAAAACGACAATAAAGTGCATGCTGTTACAATGCCACCATTGACAGCCAGCTAGTCCGTCCCATCAATCCTCTCCAGAAGAGCCTGTGAAGGATGGCTCCCTCCCGCCCCTCCCCGTCCCCCAGCCCGTTTCTCCTCCTGGCACCAGTACTCCTGCACAAGGAAGCACACAGTTGTCTGGGTGTCCTACAAAGTTTCATCAGCAACTTGGAAGTTGTACTCTTCTAACTATATAGATTGTCCTAAACATGCAGCAAGGAAACGAGGCTTTTAACTCATCTGAGAAATTTAAATGGCCTTTAAACTGACTGATTTCCCAGCAAAAGCTTCTTTTATTTTTTCAAATGGGAAGGACAGGCTGGGGGAAGCTAAAAAGGAAACTTAACAACCAATGCTGTGGAAGTGATGCGGCCATGGTTTTTTAATAATTTCCAGAAACTCGCTTTTAATGTTAAGATGTTACAATTTCAAAAGCTGCATCTTGTGGGATCTATATCCAGCATCCACTTACTTCGTAATGGATTTGATAATGAAGGCACAGGCTCACTTTTTTACTGGTAAAGGACAGCAAACACGGTCAATATGCATTACTGACACAAAAGCACAAGCAACAATAAAGCTAGTGTCAAAAATTCTCAGCATCTTTCCTTTCACTACACTCTTTTTGGCCATCTGCCTATTTTTTCACCTCAGAAAGAAAAACAAATTAAAATGGAGTTAACTTTAAACACAGGTTTACCTACACAAATATGTTAGTGGAAGATTTTTATAATCTGTTGCTGTACTGTTTGAGGGTCCTAGATTACAGTATTCACCTCTTCAAATGCCAGCAAATGGAAAATCACTTGAGTAGTAGTAGCAGCTGACATGGTCCCTCAGCTTTGCTAATGGTTTACATCACATTAAAAAAACTAGCTTTACTTCCTCCTATTTCTTTGATTACTATTGCTTGGTATTACAATTCAATTTTGTCACAGGTGAACAAAAAAGCCCTAGAAAAAGTTAAATAAGTTACCTGCTTAAGATCCCATGCCACTCCCTGAGCATGTGTGGAGTTTAAACTGGCAAATAATTTAAACAAGTTCTTTTTTGTTTGTTTTAAATTACATGCCAGGAAGATGATTCTGAGTGTCTTCTGTAGTAAATGACCTCACCGAATACTTCTAAGTATCTTAAAAGATTCAGCTTGCAACACAACTTTTGTCGCAAGTGATGGCAGCTGTCCTGGGAAAAAAACACAACAAACCCCACAGAATCTTGAATTAAGGAAGCGGCACCTAAAAAAGCCTTTTCTTTTTTTTTTTTTTTTTTAGTTCTAACCTCTATTCCAAACAATAACTACCCTCACCTGCTCCCAAAAAGGTTGTTTGGTTTACATGATATTAACTCTTAAATATAAAAATGTGTTGGCTGACTTTACATGGGCAATACTGCCAAGGACCAGACTATCAAGGAACACCGCAGGTGGTCAGTCAAATAGCATGCCACTTTACAACTCTACAAGCCTAAAACAGCAAAAAACTTGGAAATGCATCACCATATCCAAAACAATTCAAAGGTTTTAAGTATGAAATCAAGTTCTTTGATAGTGTTGCACACATATTTAAACTAGAGTTGTGCTGGTTAATGTGTTTCATATATAGTAGATGCACTATACATAATGCTAACTGCAGGGATTCATACTTTTCGGTGTGATTGAAGGAGGTGAGATTTAGCTAATCTCATTGCAATCCTCTGATAACTTACCCTCGCTGTGTGAATCATTAATTGTATTACATGGTTGGCAACCAAGAGTAAATAAACGGCCGATGTTGAAAATTTGGCTCAGGACCCCAAAATACATGGTTGGCAAAAAGATAAAAAACACCTCTCTCCCAATTCTTTTGAACAACTGACCTCCAACACTCATCTGCAACCAAACAGTGGATAGATAATTCATTTCCATGCTATTACATCGAGGTATAACTACCAGAAACATTAAACTATCAGTATCAGCTGATATTTATCCAGTTAATTCACTCTGCATAAGGGAAATTATTACAACACATCTAAAGGGATAGTTAAAGCTTATAGCTCAGAATTTTCCTTTTTTTTTTGCATTTGATTTTTTGTGTGTGTTTTATGTTTCATTTCTTCTATGTTACCAGCTGCAATTTCCAGGTTAATGACTTCCAAGCAGATTTGAAAGGAAGCCTGAAGATTTTTTCTTTTCCTGGGATTCTGCTTCTTGGCCTTGAGAGAGTCCCAATTCTTTCTCAATCTGCTCAAGCTCAGACTGGTCAAGCAGTTCAAAATCATCAGCTTCCTCTGTGTCTGTCTCCTCGCTCAAACTGGGCACTGCACGTGAGGGAGCTTGCTGTGCGGACTGCAACTGGTCTTTGATGGCAGCAGACACCGCAGCTGCGATGACATCCCCAGCAATTCCACTCATTAAATTAAAGGTTTGGTCACTGGTCAAAGGCAAGGAGAGCCCTGCAGTGGACGGTCTCTCTTTACTCTGTCTGGAAGCATGATCCACCTTCAAATATGTTTGTTCTTTTTTTCGTTTTTGCTGGATGGGCATACCGATGCTTGAGTCATCGTCATCATTTGTTCCGGCACCATTTTCTAAAGAAGGAAATTCTGAAAGATCTCTAGCGAAAGCTTCTTCATGATCACTAGGTCGGTCAAAATCTATTACAGGATAAACAGAAGGAAACAGTGTTAGCAAACATGAAAGGCTTCCCCAAAAAAGCAGCCAAATGTAAAAATGCAATTAGTAAGTTTTCCTTTAAATACATTTATTAATCCATAGTCTAGTAGCCTTCTATAGTCTTAATGCAAAGGAGCTTTGTGTTACATCTAAAATAAAATGGTTTTGAGGTCGTAAACCTACTACCACAAGTCACCTGGCACCAACCTAACTGAGAAAGTTATTTGGGGATAGTATCTTTTTAAAATGGTATCTAGCTGTATATGAAACAAGCCACGCAAATCTTCAGCACAGCCAGTTCTTAATACACCAGCCACATAAAGTCCTAAAATTCATGTCACAACAGGTCTTTAAACAATATATATAAATCACAAATATGTAAGTGTGTATGAATGTATTACAAGTTTTTAAAACACTTGTAGAATAAAAAAGAATGTTTACATGTTTAAATAAAGATATAAAACCAATGTAAAGACTTAATTTATAACTTTTTCCTTTCTTGGCCAATGCTTGTATTAAACAGGAAACAGAAAACGGAAACTCTACAGATGACTAGGATAGGTTCACATTTTCAAAAGGATAAAAAGCAGAATGTCAACAAATAAAAGATTAGATTTTCATGACTGCTTTCATGGCATGATATTTGTTACTGTAAGTGTGTAAAATACACTGACCACAGTACATGGCCTGTGGAGGAGACCTAAATGAGCATAAGGGAATATTTTGATCTAGTATTTGAATGAGAAGGTAAAAAATCATCAGTTTGAACTTACTTTCTATGAAAACAAGCAATAGGAGCATTCATAAGGGCTAAGGAAATGAATCCTAAAAATGTCTGGTACGTCATTTTCTCCATTTTCTTTAGGAAAAACAGGCTGGGAAGATGAGGAGGAAGGGTTGTGCTGTATGCAGAGTGGTGGCTCAAATGCACTGAGCTTTGAGAAGAGATGAGCCAGTCCTCGGATGCATCCCATCTGGTCTTGCGCTTGTGTGTATGTCCCATTTGCTGAAATGCTCCGTGGGGGGAGAAGAGTGGATGTTGTTTATTTTTCACTTAGCAAGGCCTTTAATGCAGTTTCCCACATCATCCTTACAGCCAAGTTGGTGAGCAAACTGGGTAAGTGAACTGTAAGGTGGGTGGAAAATTGGTCGGACTGCCAGGCTCAAAGGGCTGTGATCAGTGATACAAGGTCTAACTGGAGGCCAGTTATTAGTGGTGTCTCTCAAAGGTACTTGTCCTGGTTTCGGCACAGGAAGCTGAAAAGTCCTTGACTAGTAAACTACTTAGCAACAACTAAAAACATCAGTGTGTTATCAACATTCTTCTCATACTGAATCCAAAACACAGCACTAAGAAGAAATTTAACCAGGACAGTACTGAAGCCACCACTGTTCAAAGTTTTTATTAATGACTTGGATGACAGGATGGAGTGCACTCTCAGCAAGTTCATGGGCGAAAGGAACTGCTGTGGGGCAGGTGTACTTGATATTCTGGAGGGCAGGTCGCCCTCAGAGGGACCTCAACAGGCTGGAGAAATGAACAGGCTGGAAAGGAACATCATGAAATTCAACAAAAGCAAATGTGAGGTCCTGCATCTGGAATGGAATAACCTGTGCAGCAGTACATGTTGGGGACAACGAGACAGAAAGCAGCTTTCAAGGAAAAGACCTGTGGGCAGCAAGTCAGTGCTATGCCCTTGCAGGAAGGCAGGCAAACCACATACTGAGCTATACTAGCAAAAACGAAGTCAGAAAGTCAATGGAAGGGATTTCCCCCCTCTATTCAGCACCTGAGAGTGCACATTTGGAGTACTTTGTCCAGTTTTGACCTCTCCAATACAAGACAGAGAATGAAAGACTGGCGTGAGTCCCCTGGAGGGTCAGCACGATTAGCAGGGGGCTGGAGAACATGACATATGAGGAGGTGCTGAGAGAATGGGCTTTGTTCGGCTTTAAGAGAAGGCAGCAAAGGGGGGATCACATAGTTGTCTTTAACTACCTAATGGGAAGGTATAGAGAAGATGGGGCCTGACTCTTCTTAAAGGTGCACAGTGGAAGGATGAGAGTAAATCAACACAAGCTGGAACATGGGAAATTTTGACTCACTATAAGGAAAATCATGAGGGTCATCAAATATTGAAAACGGCTGTCCAGGGAGGTTGCTGAATCTCTACCACTGGAGATGCTCAAAATTCAACTGGTCATAGCCCTGAGCAACTTGATCAAGTTGAACCTGCTTTGAATAGGAAGTTAGATGAGATGAATGGCTCATTCCAACTTACGATTCTGTGATCGTACAATGCTGACTGATTACAACTTGAAATATTAACAAAATAATTTAAACTATTAATTTGGCCTGTATAATGTCATCAAGTAATATCACCCTACTTGTCATTTACAGTGAACTTTTCCTAGAAGAGGGGAAATGCAAGATGAGCAGAGCAACAAATCCACAGATAAGATTACAACAAATTACCGCTGTCCTTAATCTTTATTCAGGCAAAGTGCTAACTGAAAGCTTGGTCTGTAAAAAGTAAGAACTTAAGGATCTGGTCAAGATCAAGACAAGTGCTTGAGAATCTTTTCCTAGTCTTAGTCTTCACATCTCATTCAGGCTCATTGCTGGCTGTCTTCATCAGCATTCTAGTAACCAAAACCTAGTAATACTTTCTTTAATTGGCTGTTCAGCAATTCAAAGTATTCACTTTTTCTTCCTCAGCTTTTATTTGTATAGCTCCACAAAAGCATTGGTACTAACTTAAAAGGTTTACTTGTTTAAAAGGTTTGGTGGAAGAGAGCGCTAAATCTGGCAATTATTGAATGTGTCGGTTTTACCCACCACTACCTATTTAGAGACTTACTGATGTACTTTATTATTTTTAAGATGAGGACAGCTCTTACACAAGATGTATCCAAAATTATATAAAACACTGGAATTAATTTTGAATTAATTGTAGGGGGAAAAAAAACAACCCAAAAAACTTTTGTCCTCAAATTCTCTAATCGTTTTCAGTTAACTTATATGACTGCCATTCATTGATGAAATAGATGAAGCCGTTACATACCATCAGATGTGTCTGTCTGTGGAGAATACCCCTCGGATAAGTTAAAGGTCCCATTATCGGTCCAAGATACTTCTGATACATCTGTGTCAGACACTGACAGCTCTTTGGCAACAACTGCAGGACTAACCTAAATATAAAAAATTCCCATACATGGTATTCTTATACTCAAAAAATTCACACTACAGGAAGCCAATTTTTAGATACTGAAAAAGAAGCCTCTTGCATGTCATAGCAATATAAATAATCTCCTATTTAAGCTTCAGTTGTAGAATCATGAAAATAATAGGATTATATAACACTTCGAATTGAAGCATCCCTCTTTGTAGTAACTGAAAGCTGTATAATACTAAAGACACATAGAAAATTCCAATTATTCATTCTGAAAGTAACATCCTACTGTAATGAAAACAGAATGAGCCTGCAGATACAAAATACGCATAAACGTAAAGAAATGCATAAACTTGGATCAAAAAAACCCCATTATCTGTAAGACAGTCAAAAATTAGCTAAATAAAAAAATCATTATCCTTTACAAATTTATCCAACAATATTCAGTTATGTCAGCTACAAATTTTTATCGCATGGGATGTAAGTTTATCTTTTTTCAGAATACAAAAACACCTTCAAAGCAATCACTGTCAAAGTCAGGCTGTATACACTACTGATCAAATACTGCATAAGAATTCCTAGAAAACTGTTTTGTTTTTTTTTTTTAATATCAACCAGTGTTCTGATTATAATGAAAAATCCTTTGCCGTACAGTTATTTAGAATATTAAGAGAGAAAGGAGATATTAGAGTGTTCTCATACATATCTAGGAAGATATTTATAGATAACATACTGATTTACACTATCATTGAAAATGATCAGACGAGTGATTTACACAAGGATGTGACAAATTACATAGGTTTTCTATGAATGTTTCCCTTTTATATTTTAATTTGATAAAAATTAACTGCAATTTCACTGTTGCTAATAAAAATAGCCACCTGTGCTATTCTAGTTTAATCATTCCACAGCCAATACAAAATAAACAAATTCTTGTTTAGTAGGCCAAAGAAACCATTACCTTGAAGGCCAGAAGTCACAAATGCAGTAAGTTAATTAGTATAAGCCTAAAGGTGGAGACTATGAATCACTTTTAAAGCATACTGCTTAGCTCAGGAACACAGCCTCCTGGGCAGGTTAAAGGCTTCCACAGAAAACAGAGACAGTAGTCTAGATACTTTCCATTATCTATATAGATTTTAAAAGCAAGATAGGGCTGACTGGAAAAAAGTCACCTTAGGACACAGGGCTGATATGTCTAATTCACTGTCATCTTCTGTGGTTTTTGTTTTTGCTGTTTCTGAAAGAAAAAAAATATTTTTTATCCTACTCATGACAACAGACTTTGAGGTTCAGCGTGCGTTCCCTGTCACACAGCTTGCGTAGTACAGTAAACTTTCACCTGTTGACACAGTGCACCATTTACGTCAAACGCTACTAAGGTGAGGGAAAAAAGGCTGATTGAGAGGCTAGATATTTATCAAAATATATCGTGCAGCAGCCGAAGCGGGAGAGAGATTGTTGCTCTGAAATACATTCCAACACATTTATTTACTTAGTTTCAGAAGTCTCTGTTGCTCACCATAATATAATGTTCCCTGGCAATATATATCTATCTTTTAAACTACACTGCTGGTACAATGCACAGTTGTAACATTCTGTCAAAACAGGCAGCGTAGTTATCCCAAAACTGTAGCACACACAAAAAGTAAACTAAAGAGAACATTGTTCATATAAATATTTTTCCTGACATAACTTTATTACTTAAAATCTAAAAGTTTCCAATGTTATAAAGATTTCAGGTGAGATAGGTGAGATTTTGTTTTAAACTGATTTCTCCCCTTTCTAACTAAAAACTTCAATTAATTTATAGCTACTATTCTACTGTAGTTCTTAAATGCTTATTGAGTATTTGGGGAAGAAAACAAATTCTCGTTGCTGTTGGGAGTGAAAACAAGGCGAATTTAGATACTGGAACAGAGTTCAGTCTCTTACTGAAAGTTCTGTTACGTATTCATTTTGTGTTCTTGAGCGAGCCTCTCTCTTGGATAAGTTTGCCTTGTGTAAACAGAGATAAGCATTGCATGCTTTACAGCAAGTATTTTTTTCTGAAAACCTACAAGTAGTACATCTAATCAAAGTATGAAGAGAACCATCAGTCTTGCCTTGTTTCCTTCCATGAAGTATTTTTTCTTTTTACCATACCCAGACGTCTGACGTACATTATCACTCCTTATAAAGCTAAAAATGGTAGCCAGATTCAAAGCCAACTGGCTTCACAGGACAAACCAAACTGTCTGCAAGGTGACTAAAATTTTCTCTGCATACAGAAATACATTACTTGGGACTATACGTAATTACTCACCAGATCTCTCTTTTTTCTTCTGGTTGATATACTCCACTATTCCAAAATCTAGTTTCATCAGAACAGTCTTAATTTTGTTGCACACTTTCTGTCCAAATTCATTGCACTTAAGGAAGGGACATAAAAAGGCACACAATACTGTGATAAAAATGAAAACAGAGAGAAAAATTGCATTGAAATATTGCTTTTTAAGAGGTTACTCAATAAAGATTAAACAATGCATTTGTGTAAGGTAACTACTAATTTTACCTAATGTTATTAGTTTTACATAAAAAAGCACTGTGAAATGCCCATGTCAGACAAACTATTGATGTCAAATCCAGTTTCTAGGAGCCATTCCTACTCGTTGCAGAAAACAGCATTGCATCCATATCAACTGACACCTTTTTTACTTCCAGTAAAGAACAATTTATGATCACTATAACATTTATCAGTATCTTGATTTAGTCTTACTTTGATATCTCTACCTGAGAAACACGACTATGCAACATTGTGCCAGAATCAACAAGCTGAAAAAACTTGTAAGCTGACTTCCATATGACAAAAAGCACTTGTCAGAACCTACATATATATGTATAAATGTGTATATATATGCATGTGTGTGTGTATATGTATATCTCTCTAAATAAATTAAAAAAATACTCCCATACAGAGACCAAATAATGAACAAACCACATACATAAATCATGATTGAAAAAGAGACTATACTTACGCAGGACATAGGAGAGGACAACTCCAGGAATGTAACTTCCCAAGACAGTGAAAAATGTACATACACTGCAGACTAATAGGCAAAACTGGCAAAAACATTAAAATTGGCCATTAACATTAATATTAATGTTATTTAATATTAAATATTTAGATCTTTTTGCAAAAGAAAAATGTTGCATGCTAAATGAAATCTAGAATGCAATGGAAAATGGAAGTTTTTTTTAAAAATGAGGAAATACTTAAACACTTCTTGTGCAAATAAGTATCAAACAGTTCATTTTGGCTAATTAGGATGTACCCCCTCTTCTATTATAAAAATAGGTTATTTTTATTCATTTACTGTAAAGGTTTAACAAGCTCATGGTTATTGCTAAAATTGCTAGAAATTACTTCACCTTCATTACAGAAAAAAAGACTAAACAGTTGATATGCAGAAAAAAACCTCAAATCACTACTTGAAGTATTACAATACATACTTGCTGCATGCTTAAAAAAGCAAAAAATTCTTCCAATGAGTACAGTTCCCTCCCCTGTTGTGTTGCTTCGAGAAACTGTTCTCTCTCATATGCTGGCAAGCATTCTCTTGATGCTTGTTGGCTACTCTAGCATCCCCGGAACGACAATACTGAGCTGAATTTCCAACATAAAACTTGAGATTCAGCCTCTGCTGTGACTGAGACATATAGTGCATCTTTCACAACTGCGCAATTTTGAGTACAGAATTGATCTGTTGGAAGTTTACAGAAAGCATCCATTTGCCTTGGAAGTTGAATTGCAATAAAATGGTTAATTCAAAGAAATTTTGTGCACAGCATCAGTGCCTAATTTGCTTATAATTGTAACAGTAAAATAATGACATGGCTCAGAGAATGAGGTCAGGAAAAAGAAAGGAAAACATGCTGTCAAAATTAGCTTTTCTAAATCAGGATTAGATATATTTTAACATACAGTTACTGTGTCATGTTACTACATGACAAAATCACGGGACTGCATATACTGATACCACATTTCTTATCTCAATATACACCTACTTCTTTTAAATATAACTTTATTATCCTAAACACATAATTTCTTTTTGTATAATGTATACATCTTTGAAATTTATTTCATCCTGTTGCTCATATGTATTTTCAGTCTAAACTCCTAATATTTGAGTGTGGTACTACATACCTCCAATTTGCTAATTCTGAAGGGGCTGTTTCCAGGAAAGATTTTGAGGCAAAGTTAACTGAGATCAAGAGAGGGGAAAAAACGTCCTAATCTCCTTTGAAATTTTTATAATTAGCAATACAAGTATAAAAATGAAATCTACTATTGCCATGATATACTTCTAAATTATTTATATTTTTCTTTGGAAAAGAAAAATGCGTCACTTTCGGCTAGAACGACATAATAATCTTCTTCCTAGTAGAAAGAAGAAACATTACTCTTGCTTGCCTATTCATGAACTGGGTTCTCCAGCTCAGTCCTTCCAATAAAAAAACCCTGAACAATTGTATCTGTATAGAAGAAAAATTATCACAATAAAATAGGAAGGATTCTCTTCTATCATATAATACTTGTGCAGCTATTTCTGAAATCTAAAATTATTTGGAACAAATGTGTATGTTTAGGAACTGTGTACTTTTCCTGCTTTTTCAAGTTTTTATTAAATTGTGATGTTTTAAATTTCCTTTCCATTGAATGACTGGTGAGGTTCCAGCAGCTGTAAGGGGAGGGACTGTACTGTGAGCAGCTTTGCTCACTGATGACCTAGTTGTGTTCTGCCCAGGAGGAACTTAGCAGAAACTCAAAACTGAATGTATCATAATGTGTATTTTATTTTCCAGGTGTTCGGTTTTTTAAAATCTATGTCACCAAACTGTTAATCTTACTTGGGAGTGCTTACCTTGCCAGGGTTTTGTTCCTTGAAGTGGGACATTTCTTGAAGAAATACAAATAAATTCATCAGTGTTTCTGAAATGCACTGATTTATTCTGGGTCTGTAGTCTTGCCTGGAATGGATGACTTTCCAGCTGAGTAAAACAAACAAAAATACCCAACAAATTTGGTTATAGCTCATATGGAAGTTGAAACTGGTTGAAAACGTTTGAAGCCTTATCAACTTCCAAGCCAATCATGTTGTAAAGCTATAGCCTCCAGTGATCAAATGGCTGCTGCTATGCTAGAGATACCTGTGCTCATTTCTACATATTTTATATTGGGCTAATTCCATCTTTTTTAATCAAATAAATTCTGTTCAATAGTAGCAATTCTTAGTCCATACAAGCAATTACAGAAGAAATTACTGCTTATTTATTCTGGCCATATGAAAAACCTGAGTTCAAGGCACAGTTGTAATCTAAATTAAGCAACTGAACCCCAAACTTGTTTCTTAATATTAATTTTTTTTTTTTTAAAATATACCACAGTACTTTTCATTGCCACAGGATGGCCATACATACTAACACATTTAATTTCATGCATATAATCCTTGTGCTTTTTCTTTTCTATTTTTTGTTTTGTTCTGCAAACTACAGAGATTGTTATCCAACTTAGAAAAAAAGAAATTGCTCTTGAAGTCTTGAGGTTTACATTAATTTCCTTACTGAATTTTTATTTTTCTATCAGATTGAAAGGACTGTTTCTAAACAGCTTATTACTGTTCAGTCCTTTTAATAAAATAAAAAGAAACTGTACTGATGAATTTGCTCAAAAACACGAGAAGGCATATGCATCTGATTTGGGGTTGATCAGTTTAGACAGTACCTAGTTTAAATTATCACATCATATACCTTTTTGTAGAGTAGACAAAGCATCTACAATAAAGATGTTTTATGAAACAACAAAAGAAAGGAAAAACACAGACAGGCCAGTCAATATCAGATCAAACTGGTACAAAGTATGGACGTACCACCATGCAAATATTCAGAATACGAAGTAAATTCTGCACCAGTTTTACAAAGTTATCTTTCACATAATTTACTGCTCAGTACAAACTCTTTTGATCAGAGTGAATGCAAGTAAGCCACAAACAATCCCACAGTCATTTTACTCTGATACATAAGCCATTAAATGTCCAAAACATCACTGCATTAAAATAAAGTTTTGTCATAGGCGGATCAAATTACACGATAAATCAAAAACTACATTACGAAAAAAAAGAATGTACAAGCATTGGTGTGCAGCAGTAAGGACATACACATAAACTGTCATATCAAACTGCCAACTCAGATTTCCACATAATTACTCTATTTAGATACTAAAACACCACAAGGCCCTGTTAACCTTTCTTCTTGTTATTCAGAATGCAAATGCCATCTGATAGTTCCCCGGGACAATTTAAATTTTAGCAAGCATCAGTAAGTGACTGATGAGATTTTTGCTATTTAAACTTCACCCTGTATGAATTTGGTGCTCAAAAGTAACATTTAAACATTTGCTTTAATATTAGGAATACTAAGAGATGAATTTTTTTTTTTTGTAGTGAACATAAGACAAACAAAAAAATCATCTATCATCACTTGTAAAAATACCTGCAGCGATTAAAAACTTCCACGTTAATATTACCCTTGTTCAACAACAGATTGCTTAGTCATTTTTATTGGCATATATTGTAAATGTTAAAAGCCATCATGAACATTTGGACTTTTCTCAGTTGAAAGCTGGTTAGTAGGTTGCTTTTGTGTACCTTTTCTACTGAGGACACAGGCAAAACCTACCTTTGCTGTATTGTATTTTATTAGACATGATTTAATGTTAATTCTTACTAATAAGGCACCATTACGTTTTAGGATACGAGCTTGATAATGTCTCTCATTTCCTGATATAAGGACAGCCATGAAGATTTTAAAGTTTTTGAACATATGTTTGTATTTTTGTGAGCCACTGGCAATATCGATGCACATGTACAACAGCCCTGATGTCCACAGGCTATCAAGACTCCTGGCTCAGGTCTTACTTTGGAGTTTTATTCCCCTAAGTGTCAGACATAATGGCGCATACTTAAAATTAGAGTACTGCTTTTTAATTTGCTTAACACCTAACATTTTTCAAAACAGATGTGGATCCCTATATAGCAAATTTAACCCTACCAAAATAGGCTTTTTCAGTCTATAAAGCAAAAGCGTACAGTAATGTTTTTATATGGGCATGAGTTCACACCCTGCTTCCACCAAGAACTGCACTTGCAGATCTTACTAGCAAAAGCAACTGTTTACTTAAGACAGCCCAAGGAGATAATGGTTGAAGGAAAATGGATTTGAATTCTGGAAATGACTTTCTTGAAGGTTACACGTATAATTGCACTGGACTACTAGAGAGATATTGATTTTTCCTAAAAAGATAAGCTTCTGACTTGCTTCTCGTTGTAGGGCTGGGGCTATATGTGATACTGCACTGAAAGAGAAGTGATCTCTCACATGGCAGCATGCAAGATATACTAACACAGCACTGAAGGGATGGTTATTAAAAGGGTCAGTGGCCTAAATTAGGCAGAAGCTTTGATCAATGAATCTTGATAGCAAGTAAAATAATGTAGTCCACACTCTTTATTACATTATAACATCGAACGAAAGGAAAAGTTTGGGATTACGTTATTACCTCAGATTTCTGGTCACGGATTAATAACAAAACTAGGCAAAGGATAAGTAACTCTATACACAAATGTCTATTTCACTTTATTTTCCAACTAAAAAAAAATTTCTGTTCATAAATCTTCAGTTGTATAATCCAAAAGATATGTTACTTCTCTTTCACAAACTATGATAAAAAGAGAAAGCGAACTCTGAATTTCAAACCCAATGTGTCAGCAAAAAGAACACCAAATTTAAATTCTCCTTAAAATCTTTAACTAACATTTCAGTCAAACCCCAGACAACATGTCTGACATCCAATTCAGCAAGGCCTAAAGCTACTTTTTCTTACAATTATAAATTCTTGCTCTCATTTCTCTTAAACACACAGGATAAGAGGATTTTGGGCTTATGTTGAATTGTACACTTTGGTCCAACTGCTGCCCACATTTAAATTTGTGAATTTTTACATACTTATATCTAAGCCAGGAATAAGTCTTCTTCTCCCACCTACATGATACCTGGTTTTACTCCACATCGGAATGTTACGTACCTTCTTCTCTGTTGCACTGCAGACATATTGATTACTTGGAAGCAGCTTCCCTAACATAAATAGAGATAAACCACCTTCTCCTATTTTTAGATACTTGGTCTGAGCAGCTTCATTTTTGTAAAAAAGTCAGGAATAATTTCGTCCAAAAATGTCTCTTTACACACATGGAGAAACTTCATCTTTCTCTATACCTGTATTTAACTACCGTACAGCAACTTCGCCACGAGGTGGTGACACAGCAACATCAGTATTGGAGCAAGGTTTGGGAGCCATTTCATACAGAACATAAATAGCATGCACAGGGGATTCATGTTCAAACTGTTGTATGCATAGTGGAGCGCAGAACATGACTTAAAGAAAAACTAGTATTTCAACCACCGTGTAAAACTGATTAAAGTTCAAAACCGAAACTGTTGCCCTATTCCTGACTTCATTATATTATGTATTATAGTATAGTATTTATAGTGTGGAGTAGTGTGATTTCCTCTTACATTACAAATATTCAGGGTGAGGGGTTCTTTTCCCCCCTTCAGGAAAAAAGCATAAACAATTTAGAATAGTATACTTGAAATTCATAGGATGAGAGTCTCATGTCTGACTAGGTAACTTTTGTAAGACAGAGAAAATGCAACATATTTTCCAGCCATGCATGGCACCGCATGCAGGTATTTGCCTCTGACAGAGGATGTAAATAAAACCATTAAATAACTCATGAAGAACACTGCAGGAACCCAGCTGGAGGGATTAGCGATGTTACACAGAACTTTTTGTCTGCCTCCCATCCACAATAACGATTTCAATTTCCATCCTCTCTGAAAATTAGCAGCTTGAGAAAAGTACTATACAAGGGTTTTGTCTTATGAGAACTGCAATTTTTATGGATAGGCTACTCTCCTTAAAGAAACATTGCTTCCAGCTTTTGTAAACCATTCTGCAGCATTAATAATATGTATTTTAAGAGTTGCTTGTTTATTCCAGTGTTGAAAACTACTATTATGACAGTATTCTGAATTACAAAATCCTTTTACAGACTTTAGTCCTATCCTTACTTAAAATGTTGACAATGAAAGCAGAACTTGGTGGAAGCACAAAGAGAGAAAACGGATAGGCCTGATGCCTACTATCCAAACAGAGGTTTGAAATACATAAGGACAATTATAGATAGTTGGCTTACTAACTTGAAGTTGATTGCAAAAACAGGGAGGGGCGGGGAAGGGGGGAGATGAAAGCATAAACTACAATAATGATGCAAACTATTTTCATACACGCTAACCACCAATATAAATACAATATAGATTAAAGAGAAGGAGCTACAACAAGGCATACTGGGATAACAAACAACAATTCAAAACAAACATGCAAATTATGCAGAAAATGGCAGATTTGCAGGGAAAGCTCTCTGGAATTGCTTCTCTTGGTTGTTAATAATGCTTTCTTTTGCCAAGTTTAAAAGATACTGAAAGTATGAGCTTCAGTGCAGATAATTTTGACTATTTTGAACTCTTAGTCTGATCTTAGGCAACTAGAAGCGTCAGAAAGTCAGCTTGCTGATCTTCAGTGTGACAATCAGGTGCACGTGCTGCCTCTTCTTGTTCATGCCTCCCAACAAGTGCCAGCCCTGGTAACATCTGTCCCTCCTGTCCCTTCTCCCCAGAGCCCACTTGAGCAGCAGTGTCACCCAGAGGCCAGAGGGTTGGAACCAGGGGGCAGCAACAGGGGGAGCGAGAAAGGAAGGAGGTACAATGTGCAAAGATAGAGAGGTTATGTCATGCCCTTGTGGAAACAGAGATTAACATTAAACTTGCATTAGATCAAAACCTGACAAACACATAACGATGCATACTCCAGACAAATTCATTTTTCAATGATCACATTTAAAGACAAAAAGGAAAAAAAGAAGATACGTGAA